TTATTAAATGTCGTACGTTGTGGTGTTAGGTTTGAAGCTAAAAGTAAAACAAATGTCAAGTGAAAAATCATTAATGATACATTTTTTATAATTCTAAAAATATACCAGACAATTAACGGCGAGTGACGGATTGGCGCACCGAACATTCCATATTCTCACAAATTGTAGTAGATATGCTGACTTCAAATAAACGATAGTTATTTTCTTAGAGGTAATTTAGAATGACATGGACCTTGCCCTTAGGTAACGTAATGACATAGTTCCACCCCTTCCTTGACTCTTAAATTTCAACTTCTTAAAAACACTAACAGTCACTAGAGCTCCATTTCCATGCGAAAAATAGCAGCCGAGTTAATGTTTTTTACCAAATGCGCAATATGAATTCAATAAGGCTTGCCTTTCGGGCATCTGAAGGTTCATGTTATTCTCGATACAGTATCTATTATTTTGATTCAAAATACTAGGAAATAAAACAATTGCCAACTTCAAAACCTTTAATGTACGTTTTATTTTAGACTTTTCGGTTTGTAAATTTCAAAGATATGGACGATATTTGGATCGTTGATCATTAATTAGGATATTTAATTTTAGCTTATTATTTCATTTATTTGAATTTTTAAGTATGATACTTTCAAAGAAAAACGTATTATTAGATAGGCTCCATTTTCCTTTTAATGGTGTGGGCCGTTAAAAAAGGAAAATTCTATAAAAATGCGCAAACATAATTCTAATTAATTATTACATAATTATATACTAAGTTAACCTAGTTCACACATTGACACATTACAACACTGTAAGGTGTTTCTTACTAATCGTGATGTATAAGAAATACTTGTCTGGATACTATAAAAATACTAATAAAACACTGATGTAAACTACGTCTAGGGTTGCCATCCGTCCGGGTTTCCCCGGATTTGTCCTATTTTAGAGGGCATCCGGGGAGCTTCATTTGTAGTCCGAGTACTTTTAAAATTTAATTTATTTTTTTTAGGTTTCATACTTTTATAAGGTTTTGTTTTCATAACAAAGTATATTAATAATTTGTGTTTTATTTTAAAAATAAAAAAAATCTAACTGATTATTAAAACAATTTGTAACAAACTGTAATAAGATTCTGGTTTGTTAGGTATATTTAAAATGATGATAAAAAATGACTAAATTTAATTTTAAGATGTGAAAATAAATAAAGAGATGATTTATGACATTTTCAACTGTTTTTTATTACACTATGTTTAAAAAAAACCTGTTAACATGTCCGGGTTCTGAACTTTAAAATCCGGGGTTTTCCCGCATCTTGTCCTAGTTTCTAAATTTTAGAGGTGGCAACCCTATGTAAGACAAATGAGAAGGTCTGAATTAAATTGGTGTTTTTTTTTTTAATTGTCAGATACTTCAATTTAGTTTAAATTGCAATATTTACGTTTCTAACTAAAGAAGTATTTTTTTTCACATTCTTTTTCATTATTTACAACAAACGTACCTACTTTTTAATTATTATTTTTAATATCACAACATTATAATAAAATAAACTCAAATTTACTTTAATCTTTTCAAAAATTCATTAATATGGTAAGTAGATATTTGATCATGTTATGCTACTCTTTTTGGACGCACTGTGCGTGAAATAACTGATTAATTCTTCAAAAGGACAAAACTCTTTTATCAAAAATGTATTAGAATTTCAGTCTGGCCTGTTCCACTTAATAATGAATATTTTGAAACAATGGAGGACCTTTATATTCTTTTCTCAATGTTACATAAAATGTACCTACTTAGTCCAATCATATCTAGATAACTATCAAAAGCTTTTTAGGCACCGAGTATATGTGTTGTCAATGGGACTTCTTTAAATTTTAATACGCTCATGGTAATCAATTTAAAATTTTGTTCTTAAACTTATCACGGAAGAAACGGTAGTGTCATTAATGTCTGTTTGATTCGCTCGCCTGTAATGAAGTTATAAAGCGTAACTTCGGCTTTGATGATAACCCTTAACAAAGTTATCTTTGACATTTACACGGAGCACAAGGCGTGCTATTTGAAGTTCAATTATTCTAGACTAGATTGTCAAATGACGTGCAGTTTTTCAAGTTTAGAATTGCGTATGATTAGCTATCATATCGTACACTATTATTATTACTATTGGATATTAACTTGTTCCATTTTACATGAAACTACTTTTTCGTATTCGTCGCACATCCTTAAACTTGACACTGCAATAATTTAGTTTTGAGATATTCAACGCTTGCTCGCACAAATAATGAATGCTATAATCGCTTACTTTACGGTGAGGCAGAAGTAGGAATTGCCTCGCACTCCAGCACATGCGCATCGCGTCGCTTACGCCTTTTCTTAACCGCATCGTTGTCGGAAACTTTACATGTATAATTTAATACTAAGTATCGTGATAATTTTTAATGAAGATAACTCTTGGAAATTTATAAATAAAAATCTATGGAATAAAACTAAGAAGATTTAATCAAAATGATTCCATTATTTTCTGCGTGATACACGCACATCGATGGACTTAGGTATCACTCTATTTTTATAGACTTCTTTGAATATTTATTGGGATTTTTACCTTCCAAACTTTGATCATATCCTTTGGTGAAAAAGAGCATGGCTTTGGCTGCTCTCTCAGGTGTCTTAATGAGACCTTGACGATCGGGGTTTTCCCCAAGAGAACTCAGTAACAGTGTGTACGATCTGGCCATCTCTGGGAGCATCGCCTCTCTCGTTGGGGGCCGATGGTCCAGTTCGAGATCATGATGGAAGGTGCATTTTTCGTGACCTGCAAAAAAACATTTTTATATTTTCATGTTTAATGGGTAATTAGATTTGGAGCAGAATGAAAAAAATCGATAATAGTTATAGTGCAGCGTTGTTAGGTGCATAACGAATTAATTACAAACGTGATTAAAACAAACAAAAGTACATGCTTAAAGATGCAGCAGTAATAGCAAAAAATATATACGTACGAAATTAAGTAAGAAAAATTGATTTAAACGTTGATTTGAAATAAAAATGCTTTTCGGTGGTACAAGCATAATCAGGAATTAGGGATTTTAAGCTAAGTTTAAAAAAAAAAACATTAACATCATCATTAGCATTACAGTGTGGTCAGCCCGAGCTAATCTTCGCATTTCTCTAAAACTAGAACATCTCACATCCTATTTTGTCAACTGGAATCTAATCTAGGTCTACCTCTACACATCTTAACTCTTATTTCTCTTTCCAATGTGTTCTAACTACACCTTCATGCCTGAGAAGGTGTCCTACCGACCTATTCCGCCTATTCCTTATTGTCTTCTATATCTCCCTTTGTTCTCCTACTCGCCCACCGTCCATCGGACCCGTACTCCAGTATAAAACCTTTAACAATCTATTTCGAATTTCTAAATTAACCGTTCGCAAGCATAGAAGTGACTTCTTTTTGTTAAAGGGACTTGACCCTACGTTGTCCTTTTCTGTATATCTCTACTGCTCTTTCTATCCTAAATGATCTGACTCAATCATTTTCTACCTTTCCATCCTGACCAACTACTATGCCCGGATTGTTGTGCTCCAAACATACTCCACCTTCAAAAGTAATGACCAAAATGTGTATATACATATAAAACAACCCTTTCTTCATATTCGTATATATAACTCCCGTTATTTTGCATGAAAACTGCATTGATGATACCAAAAAGGGTATTCCCGAAAAATTCAGGGAAGACCCTTTTGCAAAATCCCAACGGAAATCAATAATTTTTGTTTTCTGCTTGTCATTGTTTGGGAATTATGTATGAATTTGTTCAAAAACTAAATGGCTATATGATATACAGATAATTTGCAACGTTTTTACTACAATGCGTATCTGTCATTGTGCGTTTTGTTTAAATTCAGTTTATCAATGTTTTAATGGGTTTGATCAACTTGTAAACTGCTTCCGTTTATTTACATTTTTGCCTGTTATCGATTTAAATATCGATTTTGGTATGCCACACTTTTACCTGGGCTCTTCATATTTTTTTTTACAATAATTATACTTCTGCCTAAGTTGCTTGCGTAATTTGATTAAAAATACTTTAAGTTTTACAAAATTTTATTCTTTTAAATTGTTTATAGGTAAACATGATTTACTTCACTTTGCATTTAAAATTATTATTTTTATTTCCGCTTTCTCGTGACCCATTTGAACAAAACAAAGTTGATTTCTATTTAGTATTCCTTAATTTGTTAGTTTTCTCGATATCAAAAACTATTTTTTAGGCAGATGAAATTATACAAGAACAATAACTGTTGCATATATACATATATACATATTCAAATTTTGGATATTTTCCTATAATCTCATAGTTCTCATTGTTATAAGATTTTTAAGTAATTGCTGTCTTCTACACATATGATGCAATAAGATCGCCACATAAATATAATAAACAGTTCACTGTTGAAATGTGTTTTTGAATGTACATATATATGTATTTGTGATAAGATTTAAACAAAATTTAACCAAGTACCAATAAACTTGTGAAGTAATTACTTGCATCACAATGTTGATTCCAATTTGTTTTTAATGACAGACTCGCAATTTCACAACACGTGATAAAATTTTTTTAAATGTTAGAAACTCAAGTAAATCATGTATAATTGCGAGAAGGGTAAAAATAATAATTAAAGAATTTATTTCATTAATTCCAAAATTATCACAATGTAAATTTGTAAATGCATTCATTAGAACTACACAATGTTTGAAAATTTGACTAGAGAATACCCTTCAATAGGTGCATACATTCAGAAATTTTAAGAATGTTAAAATCAATAGATCGCCCTGTAGATAAATAATAGTAGACAATCCGTATTGGTACTTAAATGGGCATATCTATGTATAAAAACATTGCCTACTTTAAATTGCTCTTTGTAAATTTATTACAACTTCGTTAGCACCTTGGCCTACTTGACACAGTTAATAAATCTACTATAAAATACCAACAGGTAATTCAAAATCGTTTTTCAAATTGAACTGGCAATTTGCGAAATTTTTGCAAACATTTTTGGGTACTTCAAACTAATAAATACCTTTCTATATAATTGTCCTTTATTTTGCGATATTGAAAAGTAAACTTGACATAAAATTTAATATCTACAGGGTGTACCATGACTTTGTCGAGATTACTATCTTAAATATGCTTTTATAATACATGTACCTGTATGTTATAAAGGATCTGAGAACCGGAACTATTTTTTAATCAACTTTTTATTTGTACACGTTTTAAACTAATACTCTAAATTACTACCTTTTCTTCTTTTCAATGGAATCAGTTGAGATTGTGTATCTTCGTCCATTCCAATTAATATTTTTAACTAAAATTGTGTAAATATATAACTTTTTGGAAATAATGTCAATGGGTCACTTTAAAGGTATTTGGAAAAATCTTCAGTTACCGTTACTGTTCCGATACGGACTAATATTTTATTTGAAAATCATTTGATATAAACTCAGATAAAGTATCCAACTCGACACTCATTGTATTGTGTTCTTTATATTAGTACAGAGTATCATATTAAATAAAAATAATTAATCTCCTGCAAATCCTATCTGCCCGTTTAACGTTACCTATCCATTGTAAAGAGATGATATTGGACATGAGGCTATCATTCCTTCAATTTATGGAATTAAAATATTCACTAAATAACCGTTTGGAAATATTAGCAAATTTTTCAGTATTTACTTTTATTTATTTTGGATTATCCAATAAAATTACCATTGTGAGTTACTATATATGTAAATATACCTTGCACAAATAATATCTCTAATCAAGCCACTATTAAACTAAATCGTAACTATTCCTTCAGCTTTCAAAGCACCAATCGCCCTGTATACCGCAACCGCAAACTAAATAAAACCTCTTCAAAAAGCTACCTGGAGTCGTTGACGTACGTGGGGTTTTAGGGGTTCCGGGGATATTTTCCAGATCGTCCACATTGTCGTTCCATGGTCTCATGTGCAAGGGTTTCGGTTTCCTTCCTGGATGATGGGCAGTGCCGTTGGTGTGAGCCATTATAATAACTTCTGCAGGCAAGGGTGATTACGATTATATCACTCAATAAAATCGCATATATCGAACACAGCGGTTTGGCACGAAACTGAAGTGGCTTTTGTGACACTCAAAATTCGCTAACCGTTCTCGAGCGATATTTGCGCGATACTGGCCGTAATGTTGGCTACTGTTAGTAATAAATCCGAAGAAACAAAAAGAAAGAGCGGTGGAAGAATGTTGGAGTTTCCCCGTTGGAAGCAGTACTGTCGTTTATTCGTCATTCCCTTTTCCGAAGACGAGGCAAATTTCCCAAGAACACCAGCGTTAAAAAAATCCACATCAAGAATATCCTGAATACACAAACCGAACACCTCCTTAAATATATCATTTTATAAGGTACCTGGGTCGAATACGGCCACCTTAAGGTTTGAAATCAATTTTCTGGTATCGCTTAAATTTTGAGATTACTAATCCTTTTTTATTTCGTAGTGTATTTACCTAGGTATCATATTATAGGACAAAGAAAACAATATGTAAATAGAATTGAACATAAATTATTAATTTTTAATAACTGGGAATGTGGCCATATTTACGATAGTGTAGTTAAATATGGCCATGTAAAGTGATCACATTAACGACATAAATTTAACATGTAGGCGATTTCTATTTTCAAGTGGTTTTGATGTTTTAAATAAGATACATTTTTAGAATCTGAAACTGGTATAATTTGAACAAATTAAATACTAAAAAAAAATTAACAAAATCATAATACTAACAAAATTAACAAATAACACTAATTAAATCAAGCACAAATAATTTTAAAATTTAACATTAATAACTAGAAAATAATAATATAATAAATCATATTGTTGGCTCACATTACTTTTTGACGCACATGCGAAATATACATGGAGTAAAAGAGTATCCAACATCGCTTAATCGTATGATACGAGATGCTAGCTCCTATTCTTCCTGAGCATTAAGTAGTGGTCTTCTTTCCAATTAAAATTTTTCATATTTTTTATCTATCAGACATCTTCGGAGAGTTCTTCGCGGAAGCAACAGAAAATCCCATAAGGAAAATATGGCCAATTGGTGGCCATATTTTCAGTCACCTTTTATATTGTTATATTTACCATAACCTAAGATACTAAAATAAATAAGTTAAAAAATATGCATGGGTATTCCATCTACGGTTGCTAATAGCTAAATTAAAATAAATACTTTTCACTACAGTCTAATTGTAATATGAAAAATTCATAAAAACTTACGATTGAAAATTTATAACAGCGACGCACTTTTCCGTTGATCCGATAATGGCGGACTGGCGGGGAACGCAGGGCGAGTTGCAACTACCCTATTCCATTATGTTCACGTCCACTATTTAACACGAATACATACTGACGTCGAATCAGTGGTATTTTTTTAAGGAAAAGGATATGACCATATTCCGGCTGGCCATATTCGACCCAGGTACCTTAGATCGTCTATTTCAACATATCATCAAATAAATGCGTTCTAAAAGAAGTAGAGCATGCTCTCGATAATGTGAACATCTCAAAATAGAATCCCCTCATTATGTGAACAAAATATTATTAATGCCAGGTCTTATTATCGCTTGTATATAAACAGCTATCCATTGGCCTAAATAATCTATATTTCCCCGTTGTTGTTACGTCATTCTTGAATGCCTTCTGGTACTTCCCCAGTTGTATTACGTATGCGAAGAGAAATTGTTTTATTAGTTATCTCTGCGTGTGTTATCTGCGTTCTGCTAATTCTAAACCGTTAAGTATTTAGTTCCATTAGATAAAGCTGGTGATGCTGAAAATGTAGTAACCCATTGGGCAAAGGAGTGACGTCAACATTACTGGCCTGATAGCTATAAAAATACCAACTAATGAAGCCATTATGGAAAATGTACTTAAAACTATTGATGAAAAACGAAAATAAGAAATTATTAGATGTATATATTTACTACTTACAATATTATTAACTGAAAAGGTACTCTTTAAGGATTTTATTGCAAATATTGCTAGAAAAAGGAGACAAAATTTACTATTGTGTTACTAATAATAACTAGTTGAAGTTTAATACATATACCTATGCAAGATTTTTTTAATTTCTTGCGTCTCGATAGTTTGAAGTCAGCATTTGAAATGAAAAATCTCATGATCGAAAGTTTAAAATCAAAAATACTAGACCATCAAAAATGTTATCATTAGAATTTTAGGAGAAATCAATGTCGCGTCAAGGTTCATGAGATTCTCAATTATCTCTACAATTGTAGAAGAATGAATACAGTTGTTATCAGATAAAGTTATCAAGTTTGTGTTTTGAGAACATTCTTATGGTCATTTTGTAATTAATGTCTTTTTTAACATATTGATAGAAACTTCAGAATAATTTTTGTTTGTGAGTTTCGTAAGTATTAATTGAAATATAAAGATTTCATTATTGTAGACAAATGCAATTTCATCCATTTTTATCTATTTTTCGTGACAAAAAATGGTACCAATAATGGCGAACTTCCTCCAGTCTTAATGTCAAGTATTCTCCTTGGAATATCTAAGTAGCATTTTGCAACATACTATTCATTTATGGATAATAATTATTAATTAGTATGAAGTGCAGCTTTAAAAAATTAAATAATTGCTTATCTAGATAATTTATTAATTTTTTGATTGCTGTTGTGGGTACGTTACCTTCGTTGTTTAGGGAAATAATCATTTACAGTTATAGTTATTATAGACGGCTTATTAAATGACAATACCGTTATTAAAAGGGATAGAAAAAATAAATCAATGTGCAAGGTATATGTACTTGTTGCAATTTACAATGGTCCTTTCACAAGGATTATTTCAGATGTAAAATGTATACCTACAAAATGCCTGTTACATTAACGTTTCCGGAAATAGAGAATAAACTATTTATTTGCGAAGGTAACAGCAAACGATATTAGGTATATCCAATAATAATTCTTTGTTTCTATTCGACATAAACACATAGACACCTGACAATTAGCCTTGGACAAGATTTTTTTTACTGCAGTAATTGTAACTATTATATTATTACCTACATACGGACAATTACTACCGGAATGATCAGATGCTGTCATTTACTATTAGCTACTAATTACAAAAGCGTACGTTCACTTTTATTTCTCTTTTCATTTAGGTATACCTATTAATTGCTAATTATTTAATCGGTTTTTATAAAAGGGGGACATCCTTATCAATGGGTGCTTCATCTTCAAATTTGTCTGTCAGTATAGATGACAAAAGTTACAAATTTTAACTGAAAATTATTTTAGAAATATCTCAACCCATTTTTGTGTATTCATTGGATTAAAAAAATAGACTAGACAGTAGAATTGATAATTTTATACTTTCTTTAAATGTTATGTAATTTTAGGTAATAGGTACTATTACCTACAAGAATACTCATATATTTTTTCTAAAAAATATAACTTTCAAAACTATTTAATTGTCATTTGTCAAATTATAGCATGTAACTGCTGGATGAAAGGTAAAATATAATTAATAACTATGGAGGAATTATTTAATAATTAGCTTCATGACGATTTTATAATTGTATTATTAATAAATTCTTAATAGAACAATCAATTACCTAACATGTTATTTAACTTATTCCGTAATGGTATTTTTATACCTAATTCCGATATTTACACATGTTATTATTAGTAGTAGTACTTTATTTTGTTATAAATATAAAAACCACCTTTCCTGAAAGTAAACGTCAAGTATATTTCGAATATCGTTAAAAGTTAGAGACAAAGCCTAGAAATTTTCTAAGAAATTTCAGTACCTAATTAAAATGGACTGCAGTGAACAAAGATTAATTGTACGTAAATAGCAAAATAGATCCAGTGCTTCATTTAGATACTTGTCTATCCTGTTTCATCTGTTGACTGTTGTTTTCAAGGTAGAATATAAAGTGCAAAAAGTTTCAAAGATTATAAATCTACCGTAAAAAGCGATTAGTATACCTTTTTTGTAGAGGTGTTATGTACTAAATTACTAAACCAAAAGTTATATATTTACCAAAAACTGTAACAAACAAGTATCCTTGAAATAATAAACGCTTATTATTTAAACCAACTAAAAAAAAGCATTCTTAAATCCTAAACCTTAACTTATTTCCTCTTCTACATATTCTACATTTTCTTTTTTCTTCTTTCAACCAATATTTGTTCTCATTGTACTCATTTTCCATTCTAAACCTTGCTTTTCTTTTCGACTTCTCGGGTCTACTAATTTTCCTATAGCTACCCCTTCATCCCTTCAGCATACTTTGACCTGTGTATACTTCTTAAGTCTCCCCTTCTTGTTACCTCGTAACACATTTTCTTTATCGTATTACCTACATCCCTTCTCTTATTTTTCCATTCTATCAATTGTTCTTTATTTATCATAACTTCCTCCAACGGTTTTTTCCTTTCCTCATCATACCTATTTCTCATCTCAAAACTCGTGTTGTTTTTCTCCATTTCTGTCTTCTTGTGCCTTCTTCCTGTAAACGCTTTAGTATTTTCTCATAACTAATTTCTCCTTTAATCGTCCCCTCCACCATCTCTCTTCTTAACATTTAATCTGGCGTGCTTCTTTCCAATTTTAAAACATACATTTCATGTAGATACCTTTTATAAATATTCTCTACTGGATCATATCCCTTCCATCCCCAGATTTCCAACCCATTAAAAGTAACAGTTCTTACTAATGTTTTGAATAGAATCATCCTTCTTTCTTAATCGTTCTTCTATAACTTTTGTCCAATTCCCTATACATTTTCCCATTACTGCATTTGCCTTTGTTATTTAATTCTCTCCCTTCATATATCCAAAGTAGTTACATTCTTCTACTTCATTCTTTTCTTTTACCCTTGTTTCTCCAAAGTTCATTATTTTTATCTCCCTTTAATGCATCATAACTTGTCACCTTGAGTTTGCCTTATTCCCTTTTCAATCCAAAATTTTCTCAACTCCCTGTTCTGTACCCTCAACACTCCTATCGTTTCTCTATATATTCCCATTATCCCCTCTAGCAACTCTTAGTGTATTTCCTATAGGTATTTAGTCTTAATAATTTCTGCAGAAGTTAAAAATGGCAAATATTTTGAGAACAACTTCCATGTAAATCATTAACAAACATGTTCTATCGTAGGTTTGTTTGCGTGAACGTAGGTCCACACTACTCAAGTATAGTCATGGACAAATGTTCAAAAATATTATTTTTCGGTTAAATATTGTAAAAAAGATAAAAGCGATCGATTAAAATGTATAAAAATGAGGGTTTTGTAAAGCTTCATCTGACTTTATTAAGAGGCTTAACAGATATCAATTAATGAAAACGAATGAAAGAGTATTTTTGTCTTGCAATCGAATCGTACAGATCTATCGTCTCCCATAATTTAATACTCTGCAATTAGCTGACTATTTAAACGTCTAATTAAGAGATGAAACGAACAAACGTGCTGTCTGCGATATCGAGGATGTTATCATTTAATCACAATTTTTAGTTAAAATACGATAATTTCGACGCATTCGAGTTAGTATTAAACAGTGGCAAGGAATTGGGTGGGACTAATTTGTATGTATTGTTGGTTGCATTCGTTCATTCTTTTTTAAAGAGAAGCACTTACTTTCCTAATCAATATCTTTAATAAGCAACAAATGCGTTTTGTTTTGCATTGTCATTATCTTGAAATCAAAATTGTAAAAAAGGATATAGAAGATGCTAATTAATTTTGTTGTTTAAACTTATCACAAGGAGAACATTCTGCTAAGTCTCTAATAAGTATTAGATTACCTAGTGAATGATTTGGACATTTCTAAGTTATTTCACATTGCATTTTCTAACTTTTACGAAAGGAAACTTTGTTATCATCATCATTAGGTCATCAGCCCTTTTTCCTGTCCTGAGCTAATCTTAGCTTTTCCTTAAAACTAGAATATCTCTCATCCTTAAATATTTGTGATCAGGAATTTAATCTAGGTCTACCTCTATTCCTCTTAGAGAGACATATTAGAAACAGAAACAGGAGTTAGGAGTTAGGAGGGGTTGAGGTAGACCTAGATTTGGTTACTGTTCACAAATAGTTTAGGATGTGGGATGCTCTAGTTTTAGGGAAATACAAAGATTAGTTAAGGATAGGAAAGAGTGAAGGTGTGTGTCCTACCAAAGGATGTGAGATATTCTAGCCTAGTTTTAAGGAAATGCGAAGATTAGCTTAGAATAGTAAAGAGTGGAGGTGCGTGTCGAAACAGGCTTAGGACTGACGACGCGATGATGATGACCAAGATTAAATTATTTTAATTCATTTTAAACAACAAGATTTATTGTCAATTGAAGTTTAGGTACTATTTTTCTCCCAATGGGGAAGTTCTTTTTTATAAAAATCATCGATAGATAACACGTATTAGTAACTGGAAATTTTCCTATTGTTGAACGTTTTTATAACACTTTGCGGTAAACATAAAGACTTCCCCTTTAATAGGTACCAATGAATCAACTTAATTAATATTAGATTGTAACTGGTAGGTAGGTAGTGAGTATCCAACAGATATTATGTAGATAGTTAATAAAAGAATCTTCAGTATTATTAGTCATTTGGGTAATTGAATCTACACTCACTTAATGGAAATTCGTCACGAATAATGGTAAAATTCCAATTTGGTATATTTCCACGAAATTGTATTTACATATGCACCTAAATCAAATTAGTGTTTTAATAATATTAGACACCTTTCTTATAAATTTTTTTTTTGCTTTAACTTGCATACCTATATATATATATATTTAATAATTAGAATTGCAAATAATGTAATTAAATTCATTGCTACTTCTTTATTGTTCTTCTGTGTTCATTAATAGTTGATAGTTATTACCTAAATGCGTGGTTTATAAACAAATAAAACGTCGTGTACGTATATATTCAAATTCATTAATAGTTTTCATTTCATAAACAAATTAAAATATAGATATTATTACACTCCACAATAATATTAGCTGGGGAGTCAGTGATGCAGCGATATTAACAAGAAAAGTAAATTTAAAATTGTTTAAAATTATTAACTGTGCCTATTTTGTCAGGGATAGTTTTAATTTGTATTTAGCTATAAAAGTTCTACTCATGGTGTCTTTTAGCATTTCTTTTGATCTATTATTTGATGTGCATTTTTCACAATATTCCTCTTTTCTCTTAACGTGATATTCGTTTTCGAATTAATTTCCGTTTCTGAAGCCGCACATTCGGATAGACAAAGCAACCATAAGACAAAGGAAACGTTCTGGACGTAATTTCCTTCTCTTCATAACAAAGAGAAACCCATGAGACCATGAAAACAATTATTTGATTAATCGTACTCATCTCATCTAAGTTTTTACTATGTAATTCAAAACAACATAATCAATCTATAACGCAATTAGTTCTTTCTTAACAAAACAATAGAAATAACGAATTTATCTGTCCTACTAGCGATAAATGTAAAGAAAATAGTAGTAAGTAGTAGTAGTAACTGTATTTCATCGCATTTAAATTGATTTAGTCGAATATATAGTACTTAAAATCTAAATTAAGTAATATTTGTCGTCATAGGAACGACTTGACTAACACTCGTATTGAAATTATTAAATTTATCAAATTTGTAAAAGAAAAATGTATGCGGTTTTTCACGAATGGTGGAGTAGTTTTCTAATTATGAATTGATGAAATACTGATTTATATCGAACATCCTGTATCTTATTATATCTAGTAATTTTTATTTGTAAAGTTTACCAACGTTTCTTAACCATAGAAGTAAACAACGGTGACGTTTGCAGAGGTTAGATCTAACAAAATAAACATAACCTCTTGTCATATAAATAAGTTTTTTTACTGTTTAATGTGATTTAAGTTCAAAAATAATTAGTATTCCTTAAAAATATAAAATAGGCATGTAGCAAAATGGGTTTCTCTGAGGATACATGTGTGATTCTTGCTTCTCAGGTAGGGCAATAAAAAAAAAGATACATCTTGGAATTGCAATTATCATTTTCAGCTCCTGTTTTTCGTGGGAGCCTGGCTATTTTTTGTTAAGCAGCTATTTAAAGATTATGAAGTACGACATATTTTTATACAGTTTATATTTTCTTTCACGTTAACTTTGTCTTGTACCATGTTCGAATTAATAATATTTGAAATTTTGGGTTGGATGGAATCTAGGTAAAATTGTCATGAAAGAACAAAAACCAATGAATTTAATGTTGCTTTTTCAGTTCTAGACATTTTTATTGGAATTTAATTTTATATCTTCTCTTATTTGTTGTAATAGTTTTAAATCCATTTTATATTGCATATTGTTCTATAAGCAATATTGGGTTTGGTAAGTGTTCTCTTAATTTCATTAAAAATTGTAGTAACTTTCGATGACTTTGCAGTGAAAAATGAATATAAAAAACAGTTAACTGTTATTGTTTGGTGTATATTTATGGTAATTTTCTGGAAAATTGGAGAACCGTTTCCTATATTAAATCCAAAGCAGGGGATTCTTTGCATAGAGCAGTTAGTATCTCGAATAGGTGTCATTGGCGTTACTGTAATGGCAATATTATCCGGATTTGGTGCTGTAAATTATCCATATACATCTATGGCTTACTTCATGAGGTAATTTAAAAATATGAAGCCATTTAAATGAAGAGCTACAATTTTTTTGTCAATTATTATACCGCTCCCAGCATCTCTTTCTTAATAGTAGAGGTTTCCAGTAATTGATCAATTATCAGAAAATTATCTGACTTAAAATATCTTCTTAGATTCATCATTTAAATAAATTTTGTTAGAGAAGTTTCACCAATGGATGTAGCAAACAGTGAGAAAAGACTGATGCAAACTATGGACATGATAGTGATGAAAAAGAAACGAGTTGCAATAGCTGAGAAGCAAATGCTTCAGTCCAGAATGTCACATAGCTTATCAAATCAGAAAAGTATATGGAGCATGTTTTCAGCTGTAACAGGGAATAAAAACAGAGAAAGTGAATGATGTGCTGTGTACTGTGATTTTCATTTTAAATTAAATGAAAACTTAATTCTAGATATATCACAGTTAAAATTTGAAATAGAAGGACTTGAGGAACTGAGTAGGCAATTATTTTTAGAAACTCATGAGAATAGGAACATGTTGGAAAGGATAGAATGGTCTAAAACTTGGAAAGGAAAATATTTTAATTTCTTGGGATACTTTTTCTCCCTGTATTGTATGTGGAAGATATTTATTGTAAGATTTTTTCGATTTTTCATTTGGACTGTTATACAGTCTTAAAATTCAGGAATTTGAAAGTTAATATTAATTTAGAAGCTGCCCTTTAACTTGCCATTTTTTACTGTTTTCTTTACATTAGTAAACTAATGTTTTTTTAATTGAGAAAATTTATCAGTTCTTTAAACACTTTTATCTCGATAAGGTCCTAGTGAGACATTGTGTATATGGTGTTTGCTTTTCAATTATATTAATATTTCAGTGCACCATTAACATAGTGTTTGACAGGGTGGGTAAAAAGGACCCTGTAACTCGAGGTATCGAAATAGCGGTACATTGGATGGGTCTTAATATTGATGTAGGCTTTTGGTCTCAACAAGTTTCCTTTTGTTTGGTTGGCTGTATTGTGGTTACATCTATTCGAGGTTTACTCCTGACATTAACGAAGGTAATTGCGGTATCATTTATTGTCTTTATTGCAAGAATTTTGATTTTGTAATGTTGCAAAACGTATTGCGTGTATGCAACTTCTCTTACATCTTGTATATCCCTGTTGCATATATGAATAATTTTAAGAATTTGTGGGATTACCCAAGCGAAGTTCGGCCAAGATAATGTACTTAATGGTTTTATTTTAGTTCTTCAACAAGATATCATCCAGTAAAAGTTCCAATATTATAGTATTGGTTTTGGCGCAGATAATGGGGATGTATTTTGTTTCATCAGTGCTCTTAATGAGAATGAATATGCCACCTGAGTATAGAGTCATAATCACTCAAGTTCTAGGCGATTTACAATTTAATTTTTATCATCGATGGTTCGATGTTATATTTCTGGTCAGTGCCCTTACGAGTATCGCTACCATTTACATAGCACACAAACAACCAGTTTATGACCAAATGTAATGTTTAAAGCTATTGTATTAATATTTATTATCCCTCGAGACCCTATTATTCCATTTTGTACTAAACTATGCATTTAATAATGAATCGTTTATTATTCAATAATTGTTTCATTGGTGTTGGCTGGGAACATTTGTCTGGCACTGTATGGTTTAGGCACTACAATTTCAGCATGGGGTTTTGTAACCACTAATAGAAATTTGATGTTTGACAGACATTGAATTGTGGTTATATGTATAATTTGATTTTCAATTGTAAATTCTAAATATTGTGACCCACATAACCAATACAATTAAGTAAACAAAAAAATAAGAGTATTGAAATTGTACATTAAATGGTATCGCCATCAACCTTCGTATTGTATTATGGTGAGGCAAAAATCTGCAACATTAAAACGTATGAATGGAAACAAACGAAGAAAATGTAATGATACGGATTCATCCTGCTCTTTAGGCAGTTCTGGCGGTAACTCCGAAGAAGACTTCCGACAATTACGATCCAGATTTGATAAAAGAAATGTAATATATAGAATTGATAGTGATACTGAAAGTTCCGATAGAAGTACTTCAAGCTCATATTCTTCAGAAAATGAAGTAAATCATACAAGTACAGTTTCATCTTCAAAGACAAGTGTCAATGCTGTAAAATTATCTTATTCAGTGAGTAAGAGTAAAGAAACTGATGTTAACAAATCCGGTAAAACTAATAATGTTAATAAAGAAAAAAGACCTAAACGAATAAGTGAAAAATGTAAGGCTTCAAATAGTTCTAATAAAAACAAAATCATGCCTGATTCTTCACCTGTAGAATGCCCTTTAAAATCTCAAAAAGACAGTGTAGAAGAGTCTTTGTCAAATAAATGTAATGAAATAGTGCAATTTTCAAATAAAGCCGTTGATGGTGAAAAAGATAATTTGGAGGAAACAAATAGGAATCAAAACAAGATAAGGGATAATCAATCAGAAGGTATAATCACACCTACAGACTCCAAAGAATTGATAGATAAAGAAGAAACAAATAGTCCTATTGGCAAAGTAGAAGAAAAAGATCTGCAAAAAGAAAATGAGGAAGAAAAGGAAGATTTACTCAAACAGGGAACAAATAGTGATGCAAATAGCACAGCTAATGAAGACCAGAATAATAAAAGTTTAAGAAATTTCAGGAAAAGTAGAAGAAACTTACCTGGAGAAGAGGAAAATAATGAGATTTTCCATGAAAATAATGATACTATGCATAATATCCAAAATTTGGAAAGTAAAGATGATAAATGTTTAAAGGACAATGAAATTAATTATAATGATGGTAATGAAGATGCAAAAGATATTGTCCATATGCCCAAAGAAATAAACTCTGATAAAGAGCTTAAGACCACTGAAAATGAACACAAAAGTAGTGAGAACGAAGCTGAAGTCCCTTTTCTTATTAATCAGTCCCAAGAGTGCACTTCTAAAGACATATCTTGTATAACCATCTCAGACAGTTCTGATGAAGAGAATAATAGTAAAAAGCCCACTATGTACCTAACACTAAGAAAAGATTTATTTTATACGGATAATCAAAGTAAATCTGAAAAATCAAAATCTCCAAAACTTACTAAAACTGAAAGTGAAATTCAAGAAATATCAGATTCAGACATTGAAGAAGTGAAAACTATAAAACAGCAATCAAATGAAAAGAAACCCAGCAAAGCACTGTGTTCAGATTCAGATGACTTTGGTAAAATTGCAGAAAAAAAGGGAAAATGTCGGAAAAACTTGAAAAGATTGAAAGGGAAAAAGAAAAATAACATAATTGACTCTGACTCAGAATCAAATCAGGATAACAAGAGAAATAGTAGTGATGACAATTATGAAATACATTCTTCTGACTCAGAAGAAGCAACATCACACAGTGAAGATAAACCCAAAAATAAATCTAAAAGAAATAAAAAAATTATGTCTGGATCAGATGACTTGAGTAATACAGAAGATGAAGATAAGATGAAACAAAGAAAACTGAAAAAGCGCAAACGTAAATCGAGCAGGTCAGAGAAAACGTCTGACAGTGATTCTAATGTAGGAAGAACAAAAAAGCGAACAAGGATAAAACGCATTAAAGGAAGCAGCAGTAGCAGTGATGAGGAGACCTCAGAAAAGAACACAAGAAAAAATATAAGGAAAGTATGGACAAATGATACTTTGCAAGAAAGTACCATCGCTGCCGAAAAGGCCGAAAAGCAAAGGAAAGCTAGAATTGCTGAAAGACAGCAGAAATACAATAAAATTTTTGATGCTGAAAAACTTCAAAAAGGCATTGTTGAAAATGTCGTGTTGGACTTTGATGAAGAAACTAAGCAAGAGCTTCTATGCATAGATCCCACACTTGCCAAGAAACTAAAACCTCATCAAGCTAATGGTGTCAAATTTATGTGGGAATCATGCTTTGAATCTTTGAAAAGAATAAAAAAAGATAAAGGTTCAGGGTGTATACTTGCTCATTGTATGGGTTTAGGGAAAACACTACAGATAATAGCTCTTGTCCACACTCTTCTTGTTAACAGTAAAAAAACGGGTATATCGAAGGTACTTGTTGTATGTCCACTGAACACAGTTTTAAATTGGGTCGAAGAATTCCAGAAGTGGCTCGAAGATGTTGACGGTGATATAGATATTTATGAAATGGCTAAAGCAAAATCTAACATAGACAGACAATGCATTGTTCGTAATTGGGCCGAAGATGGGGGTGTCTTAGTCATTGGTTACAATATGTTCAGAAATTTGACGACTACAAATAATAGAAGAATATCAAAAAAACTCAGGGAGATTTACCTTAGTGCATTTTTGGATCCTGGTCCGGACCTTGTGGTATGCGACGAGGGGCATTTACTAAAAAATGAAAAAACAAGCTTAAGTATTGCTATGAATAAAATAAAAACATCTAAAAGAATTGTACTAACTGGAACACCAATGCAAAACAACCTCCGCGAATATTATTGCATGGTGCAGTTTGTTAAACCGGATTTGTTGGGGACTTATAAAGAATATTTAAACAGATTCGTTAATCCCATAACAAACGGGCAATATACAGACTCTACGCCACACGATATAGCCATAATGAAAAGAAGATCTCATGTTCTTCATTCCCTCTTAGATGGAGTGATACAACGCAAAGATTATGGGGTTTTGGCTCCTTTCTTACCACCAAAATACGAATACGTATTATTTATACAATTATCTGAAATGCAAATAAATCTATACAATTATTATTTGAAAAACAAGTCGTTTTTGATAAGGAACAGGGCTCAATCGACTGGAGCATTCCTTTTCAGTGATTTTCAAGAACTTCAGAGAGTATGTACTCACCCAAGAGTGCTTTTAGATAAGAGTATTGAGGATAGAAATAAGCAAGACTTTTTAGAAGATGAAGAAGATGAAGAAGGTTCACTGAAAGATTTTATTGACGACAGTGAAGATACAACCGAATCTACAGATTCAGATTCTGACAAAAAGTCGAAGAAAAAGAAACTTGCTTCAGACGGCAATCGTTCTTCAACAGAACCAACTAAAAGAATTACGAGAGGTGCCGTATCGTCAGGAGCAGCTGCTCTATCAGACGATGAAGTAGAAGATGATCCTTTTGTTAACGAATGGTGGCATAATGTAGTAGACCAAAAAGAGCTGGACAACATTGACCTAGGCAGCAAATTGCATCTGTTATTTACAATTATACAACATTGTGAACAGATTGGGGATAAAATACTGGTATTTTCTCAATCATTGTATTCACTCAATATAATTGAATACTTTTTAAATAAAATCGATGAAGCTACGCAGAATAGCACCGACAAAAATGGATTTTTCGGTTCGTGGAGTTTAGGCTTAGACTATTTTCGAATAGATGGTTCTTCCTCGTGCGATAATAGACAAGCGTGGTGTAATAATTTCAATAACCCTGATAATACCCGTGCGCGTTTATTTCTGATATCCACAAGAGCCGGTGGTTTAGGTATCAACTTAGTCGCTGCTAATAGAGTAATTATATTCGACGTATCTTGGAACCCTTCGCATGACGTCCAGAGTATTTACAGGGTGTATCGCTTTGGACAAACAAAGCCCTGCTATATCTACAGATTTGTTTGTCAAGGGACAATGGAAATGAAAATTTATGAACGACAAGTGACAAAGCAAGCAATTTCAAAAAGAGTCGTGGACGAACAACAAATCGACCGACATTATACTCAAAATGATCTAACAGAGTTGTACAAGTTCGAGCCGAAACCTTTAGGTGAAAGACCCACTCCTCTAGTGCCAAAAGATGTTTTGCTAGGAGAACTGTTACAAAGTCATTCGAAAATAATATATCAGTACCACGAACATCAAAGTTTATTGGAAAACAAAGAAGACGAAGAACTAAACGAAGAAGAACGAAAAGCAGCATGGGAGGAGTTTGAGAATGAAAAGGTGTTAAGGAAAACGCAACAAATTAATAATCAGATTCCACCGTCGAATCTTCTGTTTGGAATTTCGTTGGTAATTAAAAAAGACAATCCGACCTGGGGGGATCAGGAAGTACAAAAATTGGTGCCTGTTGTCATGCACCATCTTAACGAGCAACTCGTTAAGGGGAATAACTTTTTATATGCGCGTGTTGTTGAAGAGCTTCGCAATTACCAGGCATTACAAGAGCAGCAACGTTATATGCAACAAATGTACCTACAACAAACGTTACAAAATAATAATGCTGCATGGGCTCGACAACTGTCTTCATTGATGCGATTGCCTACTCCAAATGTTTTGCGAAACAATACTGAAGTTATTGATTTAAACGATTGATCAAAGATATAAATGTTCTTTAAGAAATTCTTTGTTTGATCATCAATTGCTATCTTATTACTTATATTTATTTGAAAGATTCGGCTGTTTATTGAGTGGTTAGCTCTAGGTTTACTGAATATTTTGTAATTGTAAAAAGTACCGTGTAACTACCAAATTTACTTTATTTCTTTTTGAAGTGCACAAGAAGTAAATAAATAAACTGTAAAAACAGTAAAAGTTGTAGGGCGTACTTTTTAAGGTAGTGTATCAAAATTTGATAAAACTATGTTAGATTAATACCTATAGATATATATATTCTTTAGTGTAAGAATTATAATACAATAAAACACATTTTTGGTAAAAGATTTTTAAATTTCAAGCACACTAGCTATTAAGGGTTGAGTCTGTTTGTGTTTAATAAAATTTAAAAAAACTTTGACTTTAACAGAAATATGTTATTTTAGTTATACTAGTCCAGTGGATGTTAAGTATCAAACAAGATTAATTTCTAAAAACAAAATTTAGTTCTCACAATTGAAATATTTCACAAAACAAACAAATATAATTTATATTATCATTCTCGTTTTTCATTTATGAATTGATATAATTCCGATATGACATTTATTGTGTATGTTTGCTGTGCTCCTGCTGTGTGATATTGATTAAGTTGTCCATTTTATCAGTTTTACTTTCTGAAATATTTAAGTGGTACTTTCATCTGTGATTTTATAATAGGTAATTGTTGGGGAGTCATAAAGGTAAGATTAATAAATGCTACTTATATTATTACTTAAACTGAAATAATATCATAAATGTTTTTAATACACGGACTATCAGCGAAAATAATACCATAGGGGTATTTATTTGACATCGTACATAAAAACAGTTAGCACCACGAGACCCTAAGTACTTTTATACATAACTATCACTTCTCAAAGCTTAGTAAATACATTTCATCTCTTAATAATTTCACGAGCGCTTTTTTGTGTTTAATCTGAGATGTATATTTTAGTAAAAGTAACGCCTTAAGGGTACCTATTTGACACTGCACTTGAAAACCAATACCATCATGAGATTCTACGTACTTTTTTACATACTATCATTTCTCAAAGCTTAGTAAATGCATTCCATCTCCTGATAATTTCACGTGCGCTTTTTTATATTTAAATTGTTGTATCTGTTTCAGCGAATATAATTACATTAGGGGTACCTATTTGACACCGCACTTAAAAACCCATAGCATCATGAGATTCTACGTACCTTTTTACATAAATAACACTTCTTTAAGCTTACTTAATACATTTCATCTCCTAATAATTTCACGTGCGCTTTTGTGTGTTGAAATTGTATCTATTTCAGTGAATATAATCACATTAGGGGTACCTATTTGACACCGCGCTTGAAAACCCATAGTACCATGAGATTCTACGTACTTTTTTACATAAATAGCACTTCTTTAAGCTTACTAAATACATTTCATCTCCTAATAATTTCACGTGCGCTTTTTTGTGTTCAAATTGTTGTATCTATTTCAGCGAATATAATTACATTAGGGGTACCTATTCGACACCGCACTTGAAAACCCATAGCACCATGAGATTCTACGTACTTTTTTACATAATTAACACTTCTTTAAGCTTACTAAATACATTTCATCTCCTAATAATTTCACGTGCGCTTTTGTGTGTTGAAATTGTATCTATTTCAGCGAATATAATCACATTAGGGGTACCTATTTGACACCGCACTTGAAAACCCATAGTACCATGAGATTCTACGTACTTTTTTACATGATTAACACTTCTTAAAGCTTATTATATACAGTCCTTCTCCTAATAATTTCACGTGCGCTTTTGTGTGTTGAAATTGTATCTATTTCAGCGAATATAATCACATTAGGGGTACCTATTTGACACCGCACTTGAAAACCCATAGTACCATAAGATTCTACGTACCTTTTTACATAAATAGCACTTCTTTAAGCTTACTTAATACATTTCATCTCCTAATAATTTCAAGTGCGCTTTTGTGTTGAAATTGTATCTATTTCAGCGAATATAATTACATTAGGGGTACCTATTTGACATCGCACTTGAAAACACACAGCACCATAAGATTCTACGTGCTTTTTTACATAATTAACACTTCTTAAATCTTACTAAATACATTCCATCTCCTAATAATTTCACGTGCGCTTTTTCATGTTTAAATTGTTATGCACATGTTATCAAATTTTATACCGAATTTTTAGATGCGAAGAAACATGATAAATTCCGAAAAAATATGTTTTGGAACTTAAGTTATATTTGAAGAGTAATTCTGATTGAAATTGTAGTAAGGGAAGTAAGATGTAGCAAAGCGCTTTTGGATTTGAAAAATCGAGAAAATTGTTCTATTAGGAGAAACATATGTTTCTGAGGTTGTTTTTCTGGAAATTTTGTTTTGTAGCTGATTGATTATTATTAAACACAACAAAAGTTGTGTCATAGAAAGTATAAATTACATAAAATAAGAGCAAAATCAAATCTACTTTTATAATATTTGGATAAATTCGTATTTTCTACAGGATTTTCCGGACACGAACGATTGAAGTTAATATTTTTATTTTTCTGTTTTGAATGCCCTCCGTAGTTCCGTCCTTCGAAAGCGTCATTAGTTTTCCACCTCCGCTTGTCATATACGTTTGAAAGTACGAACGTAGTGGTCTGGAAAATTACCCGAAAGCTCGTTGTTGGTTTTTATGTGATCTAATTTTACAATAATTATTACGTTAACAATTCCGAAAACGTGTAACAATTTATCTCGGTTGGAACTCTAAAATTATAGATTTAGTGCAAACAATTAATCTGTTAAGTATGAAAAAGACAATAGTTTTATTATCAAGTGAAATGGTGACATTCATAGACAAAGCCAATGAAATTTTTTGTGTAATATACCTAAAATATCCTTTTTGTGATTGAAAATTAACAGTGACAATTATACTTTGGTGAGTCTTAATTACATACATATTTCATTTTTATTCTAGAAATTTGTTTTTCATTTTCGTTTATTGTTTTTGTACTTTATCATCCTGCTTATAAGAAAACAATTTTTATGCCAATAAATTAGCAATTAGTACAATAATGACCAAAACGAAAAAATTCAAATAGAAAATTATAATTTCTTTCAAGATTAGATGGGAAAACTATGTAGGTAGGAATAAGAATAAGTAAAACATATTTTTGTAACACCCCCTAGAGTTGCTGCACCAACACTTTTTAAAGGTACCCACAATAGTTAAATAAATAAATAATTTGGAGTGTTAGAAATTTTAATTATTCTTAATTTTTTTGATAAAGGACTTACTTTGGTGTATTTTGAAATTATTTTAAGAATAGCCAATAATTTTAAGGAAAACTAAGTAGCTTAGTAAATTTTTTCGAAAAGTAATATGTTCTGGTTATTAATTTTATTTAATTTTGTTGCAGCCCTATGCTGGAAGGATATTAACTGGATGCTGCCACAACGGTGAGTTTTTCAATAATTTATTAACACTTTAATACTTTGTCTTCGTAATTACTTATATCTCTGTATAAAAGGGAAAAAGGGATCGAATGATCATTGCGATTGACTTTTGAAATTTCGTCCTTTTTCGGAGTTCTCCAGAAATTTACCAGCTGATGAGTTTCATCTGTTCCTCCGTTCCTGATAATTTTTTTTTTTTTGAAAATTCTTTAGTCTTAAATTTTTAGTAACACCAAAAGTAACAAAAATGTTATTACTGTTTTTCCAATAGATTACAGTACAATATTATTTTCTATCTAGGGATTGAACCAATTAAAACTCAAAAATACTTGGTCAAAATGTATAATTAATGAAATAATTTTGATCATGCAATTTTTCTGTTAAGTACTATAAGAATTTTCCTTTAATTAACATAGTTCTTCGATTTACATTTTCCATTTTAAATGTTTAAATGCTGTAATTTGTTATTAAAAATAAGCAAAAAGCATCTCGTTTCTTTTTTCCTTTATAATATTATTTGAAATAGTCTAGAAGATAATTTAGATAAATTTATTATTGGGTGATCCTGAAAAGGATGTAACATTTATGCTGTGAAAATTTGATTACTTTTAAGTAGAAACCAAATTTTCTTTACGATTGCTAGAGTTGGTTAGAATATTAAGTGTGCTACATTAAAGGAAATAAGATGTGAACATATTTTATCTCCTCACAGTCTTTGTCATGACTTTACTAATCGTAACCTTCGAATTCACGACTCATCGGCTCAATAATCGTATACGATTCAGATGAATAAATAAAAGTAGTTACAAAAATTAAATTACCTTTGCGATTTGCAACTGTTTTTTCTACGATTACATCTAAAAGAGCTTTTGTCTTATGTTATTTACCATTTGATTTTTCCTTTGCACAAATCTGATTTATTTGAAATACTTGCATTTAAAATATTTACATATTTCTATTTTACATTTCAATCCTTTTTTGTATTTTATTTAAAATACTCTTTGAGACATATTTTCTATTTGCAAAATCTAGAATACTTTTTGCTGTTAAATTTTACTAATATCAGCGACCAAACATATATAAAATAAAGGAAAATTGTTTATATTAGCCACTGAAGGAATTAAAGGCTTAATACTTGAACTAAAGAGAGCGCAAAAAGTTCTGAATTTCTTGGAAATGGATAATCAAAAATGTTATGTTATGTTATTGTTTTCTGGGCTGTTTTGTCGTGGTGCATGCAATTTCGCAGTTCAGTTACGATATTTGAAATTTCGAAATTCCATAAACCACTGAAAAACAGCACGGAAAACTAGAAAATATTGTGATGTGCAAATAGATATGATCAAAAAGTTTTAAAAGACAGTTTTAAAAACTTTACCTCCTTATTAAATAAATATTTAAAGCTAAAAAAAACTATACATTCCAATTTTTCCTTATTACAATGTGTAAAAGATCAGAACCAAAATGGGGTTGCAAATATTTTTTTGAAATAAAAAGATTAATGCTGATTTTTTGCAACCCTACGTCGGTTTTGATTCAATACGCTAAAAAAGCTATTTTGGCATCAGTGTCATGTCTTTTTTCAAATTAAAACTGGTGTCAAAGGCAAATAAGAAGATATATAAAAATAAATCTCACTCATCGTCAATGTTGGTGCAAACAGGAGTTTTGACCTAGAAACATTCCAATACTTAAATCAATGATGATACTAATTCAAATTTAAACAAATGCCTAACAATAAAAAGCTTTCTTTAAGAAGAGATGATTAGCTTTATCAAGAAGTTATTATTATATTAAATTTATTATGTTGTATTCAGTTATACTCTTCGAATATTGTGTATACTGCTATTCCTTCATTTATTTTCCATATCATGTTCCACATTTTCTGTAAGCTTCCTTTTCCTAGCATTTGCTGTTTCCAAATTTTTCTTTTCTGTGAACTCAAATCTTTCAAATAGGTATGTGTTGTAGAGTTTCGTTTTCACCTTTGCGTGGTCTGTTTTTCTTAGACTGCCAATGTCTATGGTCTTGATTTCTAATTACTTTCTTTTGTTTTTACCATCCTTCAAGTAATCTGTAACTGTAACAAAGTCTTTGTAACTTTTGGGGAGATTTTCCTGTATTCTTCCGCATATTTTGAGTTTCTTGTTCTTTCTTTCTCCTGTCTCTCTATATTTTTATTCATTTCTTCAGCTTCTTTCCATAGGTTTGTTTCACTTTTTAATCTTCTGTTGCAGTAATCTAAGAGTCATCATCTTTCACCTGCATGTTTCTTTTTGCTCCATTTTCATTTTTCTTTTGTCTCTCTTCTTCTGTTTACAATGATGTCTAGAGATGTTAAAATTGGTTTTTTTTTAAAAAATATTGGAATACAAAATGCAAATACTTTTTTGATTTGTTATTTCAAACGTAAAATACAAAATAGATTTCCCTTTTGAATTTTAAATGATAAATGCAAAATACGTATTTTCAAAATACTTTTTTCAAATAAATACTTTGTTGTAGTACCTATGTAATTTTCTACATTTACTTAAGTAGGTATAAAATACTTTTTAAGAAAAGCTTGTAGGCATTTGTTCGTTTTTTAGGACGGAGTTTGGAGTTTTTCTAAACTAATAGTGGTGTTTGCACTATATCACCAGCTGCGAAGATTGAGTATGATTCATTTTTCTTTGAAGTGATTGAGATATAATTTTTCTACCTTTATGTTATAATTTATTTAGTTCAAAAATAAATAATTCCTCTATATGCTTCCTTGTTTGCCTTTGTCACCCGTTTTAATTGGAAAAAAGACACTGATGCCAAAATAGTTTGCTTAGCGTGAAAGATCAGAGCCAAAATAGGGTTGTAAATAATTTTATTGATGTAAAATCAACATCAATCATTTTATATCAAAATATTTACAACCTCATTTTGTTTCTGATCTTTTACACATTGTAATAAGAAAAAGAAATGGAAACCACAGTTTCTTTAGCTTTGGGTTCATCTAATAAGTGAAGTTTTTCGAAATAGTTTCTCAGAATTTTGGATTATATGCATTTATTAGCACAACACAATATCTTAAATTTTTTAGTTTTACACGGCTGGAGTATATCAATTCGATATTGTTTTGCGGATTGTTTTGACGTAATTCATAGAATTTCGTAGTTCCTTGCTAAAGGTACGATAAGTGATAATTTGGCATTAATTAGGAACTTCAAAATTCCATGGATCATGACATTTTAAATCCGGAAAATAATATCGATCCACGAATTCAGATTATCCGTTTCCAAGGAGTTTAGAATTTTTTGGGCTCTTTTTAGTTAAAGAATTAGTAGGCATTCATGGAATATCTCTCTGTCCTCTTTTTAAGGTTCTAATACTTTCAATGGCCAATGTGAGCAACTTTCATTTGTTTTATATAATGTTTCTTCGGCGATACTAGCAAAACTTTTAACGGAAAAAATGTATCTTGCATTTTACAAATAGAAAATGCTTTTCTCAAAAGCGTATTTATATGCAAGATAAAAATAAGTAACATATATGTATGAAACACTTTGACATTCAATAGTGGTCAATAGTAATGTGAAAATTCGTTTACTTTTTTCATCCACTATAAATTACCTCAAGTTGATGGGATAATGATTTGAGGTAACTTATGAAAAAGTAAATGAATTTTCTTGAACTTGTAAATATTTTATTCCTGAGGAAAGAAAAACCCTTCCCCACACATTGGATCCTATTTTTGAGCAACAAAAAAATTCTTGTCCTATTTATGAACATGAAATGGAAGTTGACCGTATTAATGATCAATACGAATTTTATATAAGCAGTTTTGTCATTTTATTATTTTTTTAAAATTCATGGTAACTTTGAGTGTTAGTTCAGGAACTCTCCGCATTACGCTGGTCGATTGCGCCAGCAGTATTTTATTGTCAAGATGTAGGGTGGTACATCCATCAATAATGTTCATATTTTACGAGCACTTATAGGAAAATTAGCTTGTTTCTGTGTAAATTAGACGATTGCAATAATATACCGTTTATTCCACTAATCCAAAGTTATCTTCACATACATTAAAAACATAAATCCCAAATTTCTACCTACTTTCATTGATATGACAAACAACAAACAAATAAACAAAATTAAAATTCTTAATATTAACTTAACCATATTCACATTCTTATACCTTTTGACCAAAAGGATATACAAACAGCAAACATTCTTTAACATATACACTTTAATAAAAACAAATACTCAAATCATTTCCTTTCTACTGTTTATGACTAAACCCCCAACCGTACTATTCTTTCCTATTATATTCTTTCACTATCTTTTCTTTCCTTTCTGCTTTTCAAGATTCTTTTTAAAAACTCCTACTCTATTTCCCTTTACATATATAATCTCACTGCATTTATTCAATATTTTATTCTCCATACCTCCTTCCAATACATGACTAAAGTTTTGTATTTCAATTCCACAAATCTAACATTTTCTCTCAACTTCTTTCAACCAGTATTTTTTTCCATTACATTCATTCCCCATCCTAAATCTTGCTATTATATCCATATCCTTATTCTTAATTAAGTATTCAGGTATAATGTCATTTTGTCAACCTACCCAAATCTATTTTCTCATCTCTTCTGCATATTTTGAACATTGAATTTTTTTCAGATCTTCTCCCCTTTTCATTTCTCTACATCTATTATTCATCATATTACTTACATTCAATCCCCTATTTTTCCATTCAATTAGTTGTTCTTTGCTAATTGTCATTTCCTCTATATCCTTGTATCTTTCCTCGTCATATATGTTTCCTTATATCGTCATATTTTAGTTTTTCCAGCTTTTCCTCATATTTGGTCACTCTTCTTCCTGCTTCTTCTACAATTTCTTCACATTTCGTTTCTTCCCTTACAATATAGTCTAGTGTACTTCTTTCTAAAGATAAGACCCATTTTATGAATCTTTTATAATTTTTTTCTATCTGTTTAAATTTTTTCCAATCCCGTATTTCAACCCCATAAAACATAATTCTTCATAGTGTAGCGATTGTATGTTATAAATTAATACGAATTGTATATAAGCAGTTTTGTAATTTTAATATTTTAAAATTTATCGTAACTTCGTGTGTTAGTTCAGGAACTCTCCGCACTACGCTGGTCGATTGCGCCAGCAGTCTTTTATTATCAAGATGTACGGTGGTACATCCATCAATAATGTTCATATTTTACGGGTAGTTATAGGAAAATGAGCGTGTTTCCGTGGAAATTACGCAATTCTGTGCAGATATCATTTTCAAAACAATATTGCTGTGCATATTTTTATCAATGATAACAAATGAACCAAAACGTATGAATCTCTTTTGAGTATCATATTTCCACAACCACCATTTACTTTTCTTTCAAATACATAACATATCAAAGATTTTTGCTATTGTGTAAGTTTTAATTACCCAAATAATTATGCGCTCATTTAGCAAAATTAGAATGTGCACTGTTAACACCGTTTTAGTGTTTTGGTCTAATCATTTCACTTAATGGGCGATCATTGCAACAATAAAATAGTAATATCCTCAAGATTTTTCGACATTTGAAAACGATTGTTTTGAAATGCTGATCAAGGCTTCCTGTACCTTGAAATTACTCTTTTAAACATTAAATTGGAATTATAACAAGACTGCTGGCTCTAGGATTTTTAGAGATTAATAAAACTTTGAATTTTTTGACTTTCTTGACGCACGTACAAAATTTTATTTTGAAATTATGTGGATTTCGTATAAATACATCGGTTCGTTCATAAAAGGGGTATTCAGTATCAGTTTTAATGCTCTGTTTTCACATTATTCTCTTTTAGAACTTAATTATTTATATTGTTGTAATATTTGAATGTTTGACTTACTGTAACTAATTTTTCCAATAGGAATGAAGATTACAGAAACCCTGGACATCATATTATGTGATTGGGCATCGATTGTTGTAGGTTTCAATCTACTCCAGCATGATGTAGCAGCGCCTTTTTTATCCATTGGAAAGGGACAATTAGGGTGAGTGGGAACATTAAGAATATTATGATTGTCACTAATTTATTATTATAATCACTCAGGGGCGGCCTTTGGGGGTGACGAGCAGGGCAACCGCCCGGGGTCTCGCTCTTGCAGAGGCCTCGCGCCCTCTTGCAACCATCTAACTTTACTACGTAGTAATAGTACCTACTAATGCTTATTTGAATTTCTTAATAGTCTTAAAAATTTGCAAATTTTCCAGATTTGTGTTCATTAATTTTTTTTAATTTCCGATAAACAATTTTAAAACTAAACTTATTTATGAATCACTTTGCATTTCTCTTCAAGTATTATCATTAAAACTAATTCCACAAGAACAAAGGCCTCGCAAAAAATTACCCGCTCGGAGCCTCCTGATGACTAAGGCCGCCCCTTGTNAAATGTATTACAAACGTTAATTTATTTGATAGAAAAAAATCGTAATTAACTGATAATAGTTTTAAAGCAAATACGTATTTTTATTACTCATCAATTTACAATCTTTAATAATTAACTGCTTTAACTTTTAAAACGGTTTTTTTGTCATTTTAAAAAACTTGCCTGGCAAAATTTATAATAAAAAATTATATGATTGAAGATTGAAATAAGTTTTTGTTAAAAATATATATGTTACATTATCATATTATACAAATTATAAGTTTGTCCTTGTAACGTTCTAAAACATTCTTTTTAGACATTGCTTTTTTTTATTGAAACTAATTATCGTATTTAAATATTGCTTAATTAGAAATTATATTCCTGCAGGAACATTACACAATCTCAGTTGTTGGACAATGAGTCTCTATAAGACATCAGAAAGCACCACAGTTCTTTCTATCCTTTGGGAATAGGCGTAACCAGAATAAAAAAGGTAATCAGTTTAAACTATTTATTAAATTTAAATTTTTCGTTATTAGTCTTGATGTGTTACTCAAAAATTTCACTTTCGAATTTCATTTTAATTTAAATAGTGTTGTATCTTATTAATTTAGTCACTAGTTAGATTCGGACTTTACATCAATAAGGGCTGTATTTTGTTTTATACTTTTTATAATTTGTAATAGTAAACTGCAGAATATTTTGTGAAATATTCCTTATAATTTTTGGCTATAACAGTGTTTAAAATTTCCTTTGTTTATTTTTTTTTATCCGTAGAATACTTTTTCATACTTTCTGTAGTTCTAGTGTCCCACCGCAAAAGAAGATGATCCATTTCCTAATAGAAAACTTCAAGATTACCAGGACATTACCAGGATTACGAGGACATCAGACTCAGCAGGACTATTAGGGCATCGAGAGGGGTGAGATATAGTCCATTCCAGTGAATCCCATATCAACCAAGGCATAAGTAACATTAAGGTAATGACTATATATTTATTTATTTCACCCTTTTCCAGAACTCTTTATTTTCACAAGTTTCTTTAAATTTTTCTCATGCTTAAAATGAAAAAATCATTCCCTTTCTTTTTGCTCTTCTTTAATTTTTTAAACATTGTATNAAATCTTTTTTACATTAAAAACTTTTTGCAAATCTTATTTTTCTTATTAATTCCTATACTAATGGTTTAACTTAATGCAGAAACTTTCTTTTTTCAGTAGGTAATTAAAGCGGACTATCGATTGCAAAGATATTCCGGTGATGGCCAGGAAGCACTATAGAGACGTGGAATCAATTTTAATCCCAAGACCAGCAGGGACCTCCAGGATTGCTACGGTAACAACAAGGGATAAGTCGTGGTCGAAACCCATTCGACTCAATCCAGCTAACCCTCGGCAAGGAATATGAATGCAATGTAAGATTTAATTTTTTAATCACATTTCTTCAAAATTTGTTCTTTTCTTTAGATCTTTTTATTCTTTACTTGTCTAATTTTATTTTAATTTTATCTTTTTACTTACCTTAAACTTTTCCTCAAATTTACTAATTCTTTTAGTTAGTTTTACTTTATTTTTCTTTGCATTTTAATTTATTTTTATTTTCAGAAGCTTTTTCTTAATCTTTCCTATAATAAAGGTAAAAATCCTCTCCTTTCTTTTTATTCCACTTTCCTTTTTAAATATTGTATGAGCTCATTAGATCATTGTTTTCTGTTTGTACTGCAGGATTTTATTCTCAAACATTTGCTTCTTTAATTCTCTTTACGAATTTGCACTTAGTATTTCTCTTTTTTTCTTTCAATACTTTTTCTCAAAGCTGTAATTCGTTTATAATAGATACTTTAACCGCATGTGTACTTCGCATTTTCTTTTATACTCACTTTAAAACTTTTTTTAATTACACTTTTTCTTTGGATTTATGTTTATTTTAAATCTGATTTTACATTAAGACCTTTTTGCAAATCTTTTCTTTGTTTTTAATTCCCATATTAAGATTTAACTTGATGCAAAATATTCCTTTTTTTTTTTAGCAATTAAAGCGGACTATCCATTGTACAACCCATCCCGGTGACGGCCAGTAAACCCTATGGAGACGTGGAGGCAGCTAAGCCAAGACAAGGAATACGAATGCAAGGTAAGATATTATTTATTAATTAAATTTCTTCAAAATTTGTCCTTACTTTTAGATTTCTTTATTTACCTTATTCTGCTTTTATGTTATCTTTATACTTACCTTAAACTTTTTCTCATTTAACAATCCTTTTAGTTTGTTTTACTTTAATTATACTTTTGCTATTCTGTTATTTACCTTAGAACTTTTCTTTCACTTTTGTAGATTCTAACTTTTTTTTTGTTTAGTAATAGAACTTTCTCTTTAAAATTTTCATTCATTTAGCATTATTTATACTCACTTTCTTTTTATTTACTCAAAAACCTTTTTTCAAGTTTAATTCTTGTAATTTACTTTATCATTAGTTATTTACATTTCTTTATTTGCTTCAAAACTTTTTCTTAAAACCTTATTTCAGTTTATTCCTACAATATTTATTACATTTCTTACAATAAAACTTTTCTTAATAATT